GGCGACGAGAGCCTCCCAGGAGGCCCAAAAAGGGGAAAACGGGCAAAGGATAGCGGTATCGGTACCTTTTCCTCCTCTGATCGCCGCCCAGATTCGTCCTCCTTCTCCTCCTCCTCCTCCTCCTCCTCGTCCTCGTCCTCCTCCTCCTCCTCCTCCAATTCTCCTCCTCTGAATGCTTTGCTCCTTTCTGGGGAAGGGGAGGGGAGAACGAGGTGGATCGGCACCGCTGCCCTCCTCCGACAGACCACTCCCCGCACCGACCAGCGCGACGTCGAGCCCGACGCCACTGCCCGGCGCCCCGCCCGACGCCCCGCCCCAGCCTCGACGAGGGCACCGCAGGGAGAGGACAGCACCCCGCCAGACGCCCAGGCCGAGGCAGGAGGCCCAGGCCAGGCCCGACCCTCCCTCCCAGGAAAGGGCTGAACCTAAACGGTGTCATTCGTCTTCGTTTCGTTCTCGCTTTCCCTCGCTTTCGTCTCGACTCCGCCTCTGCCGCAAAACGAAGTCGAAACGAAAACGGCCCACGAAGTCACCAAAAACACCGTTCGGGTCCAGCTCTGCTCCAGAACCCGAGCCCGACTCGAAGACGGCGACGGGCTCCCCGCCGAAGACGAGGACAGAATCGAGAAGAAATCGGACGCATAAAAATCGGAAGCGACGGAGGAGACGGGAATCACGCCTCGACTCGAAAAGAGCCGCGGGAACTCCCTGCGACTCGGCGGGCCTGGAGATGCCTTGGGCGCCGCGACCGTTTCGGGCTCTGAGAGCGCTCCGTAACGCTCTGGAACGGATTTATCTCGATTCTGGCCCCGTCCGACCGCCTCCTTCCGCCGGGAGCTGCAACGGGGCCCAGTGGTCCGCCCTGCCGCGGTGAGACCCGGGGCCCGTGCCCCCTTGGTGCCTTGATTCGGCTCCTCAAAGGGTTCGGGCGGGGCCGCACGCGCGCGGAACCGACCGTGCACAGCGAAACCATGGGGCACTCTCCGATTCTGGTGGTCCTGCAACTTGCCATCACTCGGACGTCCATCCCCCGTGCAGTGTTCGGCTTCGTGCTTCTGTTTCGCAAGACGATCCAGGATGCTCCTCGATGGGCCTCGCCGAGAATACTGCAGCACACGTCCGAGCGATGCCAGGGCAAAGACTGCCTCATCGAACTCCGCAGGGCACGAAGCGGCCTGCGCATGAATGGCATGAACTTTGGCGCCTGCGCCAGCACTGGCAACGGCAACGGGATCACCTGCGACAGCATCGGCACCAGCATCGATACCGACGTCGACGGGAACGGCGGCTACTACAACCAGTACCTGTGACGGAGCCTGCGCCAGTACCAACGACAGTACGCACGTCATTATCAAAGGCACCGAGCATTACGACGACGACGACGACGACGACGACGACGACGACGACGACGACGACGACGACGACGACGACGACCCCCCGCGCGAGAGGCGGGTGCGCTTCGGAGATGCATCGCACGACGCCCCAGCCCACCCTCAAGACGACGACCAAACGTGCGATGCGGCACCTCGTGCTACCCAACCCCGAGACCCCCATGTCCACGACTCCCCTCCTCCCCCTTTCGACGTCCCCTCGTGGAGGGTGCGTTTCGCCAGCGCCCTCCGCGACGCCTACGACTCCCCTGCCGACGAGCCTCACGACGCCTGACCTGAGGGCCCACTCGGCGGCCCCCACACCCCACAGGCCCCCGCTGACCCAACCAAGGCGGCTCCCACACCTTGACTGCTGCAGCCGTGGCAGCCACGACACGGGCCTCCACTGCCGACCCAACAGACCTTGCCTCCTGACCCCCTGACGGGATTGGCGACCTGCCGCCGCCACCGCGGCTTCCATCACTTCACCCCCGACGCGGCACGAGCAGCTGGCCCGTGGCACGGGCCAGGTCCCACCCTGGCAGATCGCCACTCGACGCATTCATGCTGTCAACACAACCCCCCCTCCGACAGCACTCCGACGCCCTTTCCACGGCCACTCCCACCACGACTCCCACGACCAGTCCCCGCCATCGCCGAGAACTTCGGCGAAGATTTCGAGGCCATGAGGCCCCAGGGAAGCGGCAACGCCGCCACCGCGGCAGCGCTGCCGCGACGAGCAGAAGGACGGGGGTGGGGAGAGGGAAGGATGAGGGCAATTAGGGAAGGGGAGGGGAGCCCTGCGCCACCTCCCGCACACTCCTCTCCAAGTGATGTTTGCTCTCGGGGGGAGGAGGGGCACGAGCGGCGGCCAGGAAGAAGGAGACGTCACACGAGCGTGAGCAGACGCAACGAGCTGGCGATCAGCTCGGCATGCCATGGACGTATGAAATTCCGCTCACAAGCAAGGGTCCGCGACACTGGAACCCCGACCACACCGGAACGCCGAAACACAGCCAACTACAGAAACAGCAAAACCCAATGGACTCTGTCCCTGCTGGCCGAAGTGGGAAAACGTACGGAGAGACGTGGCGGACAAGGAGGACACGGCTCCTCTACCTGGGGGAACGCCGTGCCCCCTTCAACAACGCCTCGAGCCGTTGAAAGGGGCTCCTCCGTGACTTGGCGATCCCCTGCCTTGTCTCGCTCCTCCTCCTCCTCCTTCTCCTCCTCCTCCGTTCCTCACCTGCCACATCATGTCCGTGGCCGCTCCTCTTGTGCTGGTTTCAGGTCCATGGTTGCGCTAACCAGCCATCCTCCCACCCTCTCCCTGTCTGCCTCTGCGTCTCCTTGACCACTCCTCATAGTGCTCCCTCCTGCCTGCTGTGAGCACTCTCCGCTGCAAGTTGGACGATCCCTCGCCTCGATGTGGCTGAAGCAACCAGACGCGTCGGCGGTGTTCATCCAATCATGCAGCTCTGGCATTATGTCGAAGGTCGCCTCGAGAAGCGCCAAACGAGAAGGCCAATGGGGAAATCAAAAAATATCGACTCCGCTAGACCTCCCCCCAGGTGGGCTCTGATCAGAATTTCGAGGCGGATCCAGCCGCGTCGACGAGGGCATCCCAGGAGGCACAAGGAGGAAAAACGAGGCAAGGATAGCGGTATCGATAACGCCTCCTTCTTGGAGGGAGCGCCAAACGAGAAGGCCAGGAAAATCAAGAGACGGCGGGAGCGACCACTGTGGAGCGGTCAGCCACATGAGCCTGTTGGCCCAGGCTCGTGGAGCGGCAGCCGCAGTCGGTTCTTCGGAGCTGATTTGGCAGGGCCTTGCGAGCAGCCCACGAGGCGCCGAGAACAAATGGAAGCGCGGAGTTTGGAGAGGAGCAAGAGCCTCAGAGGAGAAGGAAGTACCCATAAGAGCACCCTTGCCTCGTTTTTGCCTTTCCTGGGAGGCCCTCGTCGCCACAGCTGGAATCGCCTCGGAAATCTGATCAGAACGCGCCCGGGAGAGGTCCGGGGAGCAGCGGTAGCGGTGCCATTTTGCCCCCCCTGAATCTGGGAAATCTCGGAAGCGCTGCAACGAGAAGATTTCAGGACACAGTCAGCACCTCAGAACAAAGGCCTCCAAATTTCCCCGGGGGGTCCGCTGGGATATCCTGACATCCCCAACGAGGGTCCGTTGGCTTCCAGAGGCATCCAAGGCAAACGGAACTACAGTCAACCCACATAGGAAGGATGCGCGGTAAGGATGCAATGGACTTGGATGGCCATGTCGACACTTGGCGAGCGATGCGCGGCCAGCGAAAGCGGCCCAGGATGGGCCGAATGGGAAGGATGCAGGGGTAACCTTGGAAAGTCGTTCATCCCTACTATGCGGGTCGACTGCAAACGGAGCAACGACCTGATGGGCACCAAACGGCGGCGCGTCGTTGATAATCTTCCCTCCGACAGAGAACGGGGGCACGGCAAAAACGGGAGGCGATCGAGGGTTGCAGGGTCAAGTGTGGGAGCGAGGGGAATGCCAGGGTAACCTTGGAAAGTCGACCATCCTTGCCTTCAGGGTTGACTGTATGTCCTCCTGCGACGCACATCCCCACAACCTGGGCGCGAACGGGGGAGTGCAACAACCCCGGGAGGCTCCCCCTTGGGGTGTCCAAATGCCGCGCCTGCTATATAGCGATGCGCATTGGACCACCAAAAGAGAAAGATGTGAGCGGCGCCGAAACAAGCAAACCTCTTGAGACATATCGACAATCTGGGCGCGAACGGGGGAGTGTCCTACAATCTGGCGTCTCCCCCTCAGGGTGCCTACATGTCACGCCTGTTTGAGCATTGGACCACCAGCTGACAGGAGTGCAAGGATCTCAGTGTGAGTGAGCCTTGGTGCAAGTCAGTCTGAGTAAGAGTAGGTCCGAGGGTGAGCAAGTCCAACTAACAGCGACGATGTGCAGAGTAGGTATGGATACGAGTGAGTCTGAGTGTGAGCAAGTCTGAGTGTGAGTAAGTCCGCCGACCCCTTGCGGGTCTCGAAGCGTGTGAGGTTGTTCCCCCCCCATAACCCCCCCCCTGGGGACTCCAAACCGGAGATTTGACCCCCCCCGGACCCCCCCCCCTGGCCCGGCCCGAGCGACTCACGGGCCTTTTCGGGCCCAAGGGGGCCCAAAGACGGGCCAAGAAAGCCCCAAGAGGCCTCCAAGACGGCCCACGAGGGCCCCAAGACGCCAAACGAGCGCTCAAAGACGCACAAGATGGCTCCAAGACGGGCCAAGAGGCATCGAAGATGCCCCGAGGAGCCTCCAAGAGGCCTCCCAAGAGGGCCCCGAGAAGCCAAAATCATTGATTTCCCCACTGTTTCTCAATGAATTTTCGGTTTTCACGTTTTCCGCTTCCCGACGCCCCAAGACGGCCCCACAGGCCCCGAAGACAGCCCCAAGACGGCCCAAGAGGCCCCCAAGATGGCCCCAAGACGGCCCAAGAGGGCCCCAAAACCGCCCAAGAGGGCCCCAAGACGGCCCAAAAGGCGCACAAGACGGCCCAAGAGAACCCCAAGACGGGCCCGAGAGGGCACCAACAGGGGGGAAAAAAAACTCATTTCGAGCCCTCGGCCCCCAGACGCCCCTGGGAAGCCCAAAGATGCCCCCCAAGAGGGCCCCAAGAGGCCCCCAAGAGGCCCCAAGCATGCCCCAAGAGGCCCAAAAGAGGCCCCAAGAGGCCCCAAAACTGCCCCCAAAGGGTCTCCAAAGTGTGGGCGGTACCATTTGAGGCATACGGACGACGCACCTCGCGTGGCACTTGGTCGGTACCACTTGAGGTCTCCGAGAGACCGACCACGAGATCCCAAAGCACACTCCAAAGGCCTCTGACTCACAACCCAGGCGCGGTGGCGGGATTGGCGGGACGGGCCACAGGCCATTCGAGAAAAATCCCTCTCAGGATCCACGACAAGATCCTCACTTGTCCTCGTCGTTTTCTTCCTCCTCCCCCTCCTCCTCCTCCTCCTCCTCCTTCTCCTCCTCCTCCTTCTCCTCCCCCGTCGTCTCCCCCTCCTGCTTTGTTCCTCCCTACTGTCCACAGCATTCGCGCGCTGCCAGACGCGCTGCAGCGCCTTCGTGGAAGCCCCCCAGAACCTCCGAATCGGCCCCCAAGTGGCTTCAAAACTGCATTCCAGGGGCCCCCGAGAGGCGTGCCGCGAGATCCCTATACACATACTTGAAGCCTCTAACCCATAACCCATGACCCAGAACCTTGTCTCCGTGTCCCCCTCCTCCTCCTCCCCGGCCTCCTCCATCCCCATACACATACCACAAGCCTCTACCCCACAACCCATAACCGAGAGCCTCATCTCAGTGCCCCCTCCCCTCCTCTTCCTCCTCCCCCACCTCCTCGTCGCCCCCCTCCTCCTCTTCCTGCCCCGCTTCACCTCACCCTCTTCGATGCTTCTCCCCCCCATTTTCCGCCTCACCCCCCATCCTTCTCTCCCCGTCCTCCTTTTTCTCCCCAGCACGCGCGCCCGATTGGGCATCATTTGCACGTCTTGCACTTCAGGGTGCCCTTCTTTGCGTCGCGCGGGACATTGTGCGGATCGGGGAACGCCGACTTCGGTAGTCTTCTCTTGCATGCGCCGCTGCACTGATACGCCTGGCAACTGCGCGCGGTGAACCCGAGTTTTGTGCAGTCTCCGCACACGACTTTGAGTTGTGTCGCCTTTCGATGATGTTCCTTTTGCGTCTGCTTCAAATGTTTCGTGTCTGAGAACGCTCCTCCGCACGCCGCGCACGTCAGCGGCTTCGCGTCCGCCTCGGCTTTCCGTTTCCTATTATTCGACTCGAGCGTCGTCCTCTCACGTTCTTCCGCGCACCTCTGACACAGCCTCTCCCCCGCTGCTTTGTGCTTCTTCTGTGCATCGGACATATCCGCCTCCTCTTGGAAAAGCGACAGACATTTCTCGTTCGAACAACGCACCTTGCGTTTCCTGTTATTCGACTCGCGCGTCGTCCTCTCCCGTTCTTCCGCGCACCTTGACACAGCCTCTCCCCTGCTGCTTTGTGCTTCTTCTGAGCTACCAACATTTCCGCCTCCTCTGGCAATAGCGACGGACAGCCGTCATTCGAACAGCGCACTTTGCCCGCGCTCTCGGCCCACTTGGCGTTGGCACGGCGCGACTTCTGCTGCCCCTTCACATCGCTGCATTTGACACAGTACATGGTCCGAACTTTTTTGGCGTCGTCCCCATCGCGAACCCTCGCCACGCCCTCATCGTCGCCCCTCCGTGCGCTTTCGTCGCCGTGAGTCTTCGTTGCCCACGTGTCACACGTTTTGCACCATTTCTCGTCCAGGCTCTTCATCTCTTCCGTACACTCTTTACAGAAGGCCGGTCTCTCCTTCCGCTGGAACTCGTACTTCGTGAACGCCTCCATTAGCAGCCGACGTCGGCAACGCCCACGCTGATCGCGCGGCATCAGCTTCGCCCCCCACTCCCCCAATCCACAGCGTCGCCGCGTAGCACCTGCAACAGCTTCTGCGCGCCAGGCACCCCCCCCTCGTTGTGCGGCTTCCTGTCGAAAGGCCTGAAGATAAGTAAGTTTTCCCGTCTCCTCACCCGGGTAATCGCCACGTAACTGGACATCCAACTTACGCCGCGCCCTCTTTCCAGATCCGCTATCACTGCGCCCAACGTCCGCCCTTGCGCGGCGTGCGCTGTGATTGCTAACGCTGGCGTAATCATGAACTGCGTGCGCTTCACCCCCAACACCGGGTGCTTTCGATGCCCGTCCAAGAACCACTGGCGGCCCTTCGATGGAAAAATTGGATACAGTCCCGGCTCCCACCCGGGCAAGTGCCATTTCTACGTGTGGAAGTCCAACACTATGACTCTTGGCATGTGCGACAACACTTCTTCTTCTTCTTCGTCTCCCACGACTTCGTCCTCGTGCAAGACCCACCCATGAATCGTCGCGCGGCTTCCCCGCAGCAGCTGCTTCTTCGACCTGCCCAAGTCATCTCCTCAGGCCACGGGCCACCCCAGCAAGCTCGCGCACTCCTTTTCGTGATAAACTAGCCACCGTATCTTGTCCTCCACGGTGCACGGGCGTCTCTGCTCCCCCCCATGGCACGGGCGATCTCTCGCCGCGACCCATAGCAGTTGCTCTCCGTGTTCCTTCGCCCACTGCACAGCTCTTTGTTTCCCGACGTGGCACCGAATGTCCTGATTGGCATAGATCGCCGCGGCCTCCACGAATTTCTCTTCCCGAAATCGCGGGTCTTCCGGCGACGTCGCCACGAGTTTCCTCTTCCCACGCTCCACTTTGCACACCGCGCATTCCAGTTCATTGTCTCTGCCAATTTCCTCTGCTTTAACTCGACACTGCGAGTTTCCGCATTGCGGCGCGCCGTTCACCCACGATCCCGGCACGTCCGTCGGCCGCCCGCGCAAGAAATTGCGCGTTCTCTCCGTCAATTCGCCTCGACGAAACTCGTCGTGCACCCCGAGGAACCAGG